ATTTTTTTAGCAAATCTTATTTGGTAGTATATGTGTGCGTGTTCAAAGTATGTCTGGGCCTTTTTTTTTTTTTACAACAAAGGTATGTCTGGGCCTTGATCGCAGGACAACAAGATGCGTGGTATGTGCCGTATTTGGTAGAGGGGGATGCGTGGGTGATTAATTAGCTTGATTGAAATCTTAGATTTGAAATGCATTTTTTACTCTTAAACCGTGAATCCCGTTTCCTTTTATTCTGCAATGTATGGAACCATTGAGTTTTTTTATATAACAAAAAAACCATTGAGCCATCTACGATAAATACAACAAAATGGATACATCTACGATAAATACAACAAAATGGATACATGTCTATTTCACATATTTTAAGTAAGGCAACGTATCAGGCGTAAACCAACCAACCTGTGCAAACTTAGAAACTACCGATCAGGACCACTAGATGTTGATCCAATGGATGGAGTGAGAGGTGAGATTTTTTTACGCTTAAACCCCTCACCCGTCGGCCTTTTTTTGCGCTTAAGCCCCTCACCCCATCCATTGGATCAGCATCTAGTGGTCCTGATCGGTAGTTTTCAAGTTTGCACAGATTGGTTGGTTTACACCTTATATGTTGCCTTTAAGTAATCAAGAATCAGAAATTATATCACAACCAATGAGCATCTACGATAAATGCAACAAAATGGATACATGTCTATTTCACATATTTTAAGTAATTAAGAATCAGAAATTATATCACGACCAATGAGTTGTAATATAATTTTGGTCAGGCTGATGACGGGCACGTCATACTTCACATCCGGATCTATATAATCCTTTGAGGATCCAAACTGAACCGTCCTATTCACTTAAACTTATCAGCTATAGGCCCTGTTTGGGAGAGAGTTTCTGAGTCTCGCTTATAAGCTGAGCAGGCTTATTTGATAAGTCACGATCTGGAGAATCTGATGTCTGAATAAGCTGGGCGTTTGGCTGTCCTAATTATTTCTGGTAGATTATCTGTTCTGAATGTAAATTGACCTTTATACCCCTGAGACTAATGATACCTCTTTTGGTTCGTCACAATGATCTGAAGGCAATGGTGAGAATATTTTTAAAGTTTGAGATAACAATATGGTTCCATTAAGTTGCAATGTACAATAATAGTTGAAAATAATATCCATTTTGGTAATGTAATTGCTACAAAATACTCAAGTTTCTAACCATGAATCACCCAACCAACGCATTAGCAATAGCATCACGAAAATTGATTCATCATTTCAACCAACCAAAACACAAAGAGCTCTAGTAACATTCAACAGATAAGCCATAATACAAAGAGTAAGGGAGGATAGGCATGCCATTAACAAAATGAAGCAAAGATGTACATACTGCTAACAATAAAAAAGACAGAATGCAACAGAATACTAAATAGATGCATGGCAATGTTAACAGCTGCCATAGAATGTAGCAGAAAATTAAACAATAGCATGGCAGGTCAGACAGAATGTATGTCTCAAGAGTTAAGTTCATAAGGAAACTTCACACATCTAATTGATTCATCATTCCTTGCCAATGAACTATTCTATGAAAACACAAAAGCAGCAGTGCACCGATATCAACAATGGGCACTTTTATTCATGAAGGGGTGATGATAGCATCTAAGGTTTGTGTTATATGAACTTAGGCATACTGAAAAATCTCAGATTTCAAAGGCTTTTTTTATGGCAGCCATCGCATGCACCTATTTGATCCACTCCAACCACATTACCAAATAGGTGAAAATCCAGCATTACATCCTGAAGCTGCCTAGAAACAAACCGGCAGAAAATAGCTTGTACTGATAAGATCTAACATCGACAAGTCAAGAATGGCTCCTGAGCCTAAACTGAAACAGCAATAACTAATCAATGCTCGTGCCCGCGAGGTAATGAGGTATCACGCTGCCTAGAAACAAGCCGCTATCAGTTCTCCTGTATCCACGATAACATCACTAGAAGGAACCCAATCTGAAACCAGAAAATCCACAGGCGAACTCTGCAACAACTCTCCGTTCCGTCTGTTTCACTCGCACCACCGGAACCAAAGCAGCAACCTACAGACCGGAACCAACAGCTCTCTCGTCGCCTCCGCAGGGGAACCAACCAAAACCTAACAAGCAGCCAAATCTAGCGAAGCAGCCCCGCCAATACATCCAGCAACTAGAACCATAGCGACAGATCGGGAGCGCAAGCGATGAGTACCTTGTCGGTGGGTTCCACTTCGATCTGGAAGCTGGATCCCTTGAGCATCTTCACGGAAAATGTCCCACCCGTGAAAATCAGATGCTGGAGCACCTAATCACCTTGCTGTACCGGCGGAAGGGGAGGGGAAGGCCGACGGAGCCCTAGCTGGAGATCCGAAGGAGGGGAGGGGACGGCCACCGGCGCACTGGCTGGAGCACCGGCGGAGGGGGAGGGGAGGCCCGTCGTTGGGGAATGGGAGGCGACAGCGGATCTGGCGAGAGGAGGGAGAGCCGGGCTGAAGGAGAATGGGAGGCGGCGGCGAAGAGGCCGGCGGCGCTAGGGAGGGAGCGAACGGGGGAGGGAGCGAGCACGGGACCGCTCGGGTCTTGAAGGAGGGGCAGGGAGAGGAAAAGCCTGCGATTTCGGAAAAGCGGGGTCTTGCTCGCGATTTCGAATACGCTGCGGGCGACCGGACATCGCGGAAGCACGTTCGCTTTTGGCCCCTGATCGCATGGCGTTTGTGCGGCATTATTTGTTTATTAGTCTTAGAAGCTGAGCAAACGCTCTCCCAAACAGGGTCATAGTATAATGGTCCTGTTCGGCTTACCTTAAAAACGGTATTATTCAGCTTATTTTTTCAGTCGGAATAGTATTTTTCTCTCACAACAATTCAGTCAGAATATTGTTTTTTAGCCAGTTTCAGCCAAGATTTAGCAAGTCGAACGGGGCCAATGTTTTTTTCTCATAATAAATCAACGAGCAGGGCTATTATATGCAGCATAGTAAGGCCCCGTTTAGATAAAATTTTTTGGATTATGGCTTACTGTAGCATTTCGTTTGTATTTGGTAATTAGTGTCTAATTATGGACTAATTAGGTTCAAAAGTTTCGTCTCGCGATTTCTCACCCAACTGTGCAATTAGTTTTTTTTTTGTCTACATTTAATACTCCATACATGTGCCGCAAGATTCGATGTGACGAGCACTATATAAAATTTTTTGGAATCTAAACAGACCCTAGCTAACACCATAGCTGACGAGGAATTTGGGTTTCTTGACTGTCAGACAGCCTCTCCCTGCTAGTGTCAGGATGTCAGCTGCTTCAACCAACGCAACAAGAGCACGTCAGTTATTGAATCGCCACAGAAGTCCGGGAAGATCACGGCAAGCCGACTAGCGAGACGCGCCATATATGGAGCATGTCTGAGCTCGATCTGTTGTTGCTCTCACCGTACTCGGACGCCACACACACACGTGAAGTTTTGGAGGACCCCATGTTTAAGGAGGTTGTAGCCTCGTTCGCAACCACCCGTGCGTGCACCTGCGCCACTTTGACTATGGCCTACCACCCTGCACAATTGGCAGCGGACTCGGTTCCACCGCCTCTCGAGCGCGGTCAGTCTCAGGGCATGCTGCCAGGCCGTGCAGACCACCTCAGGAGCTGACGCACCTACGTAGGACGAGGTGAGCGGTCCGCCTGGCTTCGGTTCGGCCGAGCCGGCAGCGGTTGCAGACATATTCAGTACACCGCCTCGGGAGGACCGCGCGGTCGACATCAGCGACAGCTCCGCCACACGCCGCCTCAAGAGCTTCACCAGGCGCGTGCTGAAGTAGGTCGACTCTCCGCTTATACGGGAGCCTCTCAAGCAGCCTCCTGCTAAGCCGGTGCTGCCGCTACAGAGCAGGTGGTTGGCGGCTCAGAGCCTCTCTCGAGTACCTACTTCCAAGCGAGGTGAGGTGTTGATCATGCAGCGTATAGGCTACACCAAGGGTCCATCAGCGCCATCCGCGTCGGAGTTAGAGGCCTTTGACAAGATCTTCGACGGCAACCTGGTTGCGTCTAACGTCGAAGCGCTGGAAATGCTCTTCTTGGACGGTGGAAAGGGCTCGTCGAGGTAGCCGCGAAGGCACAAGGCCATCTCCTAGGTTGCACCGCTACGTCAGTTTTAGTTGTTTTCTATTTACGTAATATCAAAACTAGAGGTCTTTTATTAGGATGATCCAGCTACGGCTATTTTAAGTCGACCTCATTCGGCGCTCGATAGAGATGTATTGTTATGTTAAAATTATTGTTCTTAGTATAAAGATACGCAAATCTTTTGAAGGTTCTCGTGAAGAAAAAAAAAACCCTGCAGACTGTATGGGACGACCAAGGGTTGCACATATACAACGGTATAGAAGACAAGACAGTCATCAATCGAGCTTCTGCCTGTATCAGTCAGTGACTTAATAATGTTTCCGACTCGTTGTTTTCTTTTATTACTCCACTCAAGACTGTTAACATGTTTTTTTTTTGAGGGGGAGGGGAGATTCATTCATTCATATCACAGCATGATTACAATCTGCGGTCACTAGTCTCTACACAAGGACTGTTAACGTGTTGGTAACACACAGAAACAGCATATACAGTACATAGAACCACGGCAAGAAAAATTGACGCAACCTAACAAAGGTGGCGTTTAGATTTAGTGTGTAAAGTTTCGAGGTGTCACATCAGATGTTATATGAGGTGTTCGGATACTAATAAAAAAATAAATTACAGAATCCGTCAGTAAACCGAGAGACGAATTTATTAAGCCTAATTAATCCATCATTAGCATAAATGTACTGTAGCACTTGTTGTCAAATCATGAACTAATTGGGCTTAAAAGATTCGTCTCGTAAAATAGTCGCAATCTGTACAATTAATTATTTTTTAATCTATATTTAATACTTTATGCATATGTCAAACGTTCAATGTGATAGGATGTAAAGTTTTGACGGAGAATCTGAACAAGGGTAAAATCAGTTTCCTTCCAATGCTAGTAAGGACATGGACCAAAATCATCATCAGCAGCCGCCGCCGCTGCCACCGTCTCCGCGCCTGTATGTACAAACTCTGACAGGACCCGACAACAGTACTTACAGTAGTAGCAAGGAAGAAGGCCGGACAAGAACCGGTCGGACCGCTCTGTCTGAAATTGAATCCACGGAGCAGAGCAACTCCGCTCGGCTATGCTCGAGGACATCAGAGCCCGCAGCAGTAGAACGCCAGCCGGCTCCAAGCGGCGACGACGGCCTTCCTCCCTGTCCTGGCCACAAGAGATGGCGCGGGCGGGCTCAGGCAGGCCGACGAGGAGGGGCACACTGCGGTCGGCGAAGCTGAGGCGGGCGCGGAGGAAAACACCGTGGTCCGCGAAGCCAAGGTGCGCGCGGAGGAGCACACTGCGGTCGGCAAAGCCGAGGTAGGTGCGGAGGAGCACGCCACGGCCGTCGCGGCCGAAGTGGTCGCGGATGAGCACGTCGCGGTCGTCGCAGCCGAAGTGGGCGCGGAGGAGCACGCCGCGGTCGTGGATGCGGCGGTGGAGGCGCAGAACTTGCGAGCCACGGTCGGGGAAGCCGAAGAGGGAAGGTTGCCCACGAGGAGCACCTAGAGAAGTTGGTACTGGAGACTGCGGGGGCGGGCGTGACGCAGGTGACGAACTCCTCCTCATCAGGCTCCGACGGGGTCAACTCATCATACGCGGACGAGTACTCGGTCGCCGCAGCGTCGACGGCGAGCTGCTCCGGGCAGGCGAGATCGGACTCAGGTACGGAGCCGAGACACGACGACTCGGAGCTGCGGGGCAACGGGATGACGAGCTTTTGTTCGGCGTCGAGCAGCGCGTCGGGGGCGGTGGAAGCGGAGTTGCAGCCGGTGTTGGAGGAGCACGTGGCGGTGGAGGCCGACTCATCGATCGAAGACTCTATCTCCTTGCGAATCGCACGGATCTCGGCCAGCAGCAACTGGTAATCCAGACCCATGGCGCTCAATTGCGATTTGGAATCAGAATGGCTCCAATACCAATTTGTTAGCACACCCTTCTCGAATAGATCACAAAACAACTTGATTTGGGTACAATCGGATTACACGACCTCATGGGAAGGGAGGTCTCAAGCTTAGCAGAGCAATCTACGTGGAGAAGGGAGGAATTGCATCAGGCAAAGGAGAGAGAGCTCTAGACCTAGAGAGAGGCCAGCGAAGGGAGAAGAGGACCAGAGGTAGGAGAAGACTGTTCTGATAATTCATTCGATGCCTTCCCCATCTGTTGCCTTCCTTCTTGCCTTCCTTCCTTTGTATTGTTTGCCTATTGCCGCCTTGGGCCCTCCATGGGCTATCCGTCATGTTGGCCCATGACCAATACCAACTCGCCACTAGACAGTACCTAACACGCGTCGCCATCGACGCGCCTTTGCCGCCACTGCTGGGTTTGCTAAGCATCTCCCACATGACGTGCATGTCGCTGCCGTACTCGCACGTGCACACCTCCTTCCGTAGCCGCCCTTGCTGCTCCTGCATGACATGGCCGGAGGCTGAGGCGCACGCTGAGGCCGCGCCACCGCCACACATGCTTGGCCGGCACCTGTAGGCACAACATCCTTTCCTCGGTCGGATCTGGATCCCCTACTCTGCTCTGCTATCTCTGCTCGATCCAGACAGCGAGTCGACCTCACCGGAGAGCTGCTCGTCTTCATCTCATCTAGACCTCTCTGCTGCAGTGCCAGCACTGGGACGACCGCCACTTCTCTTTGTTTATATATATTTATTTCGATAATGATGTGAACCGGTCATCCGGGTTGCCGGACGCACCCAACCCACGCGCCCTTATCTTCTCAATTGCTTACTCTCGCAGCGCCCGCCTGCTCGAGGGAACGGACGCCACGCACCGTGTGCACCTCGCTGTCACCCCGCCCACCCCTCCCTCCCCTCTGCGCGACCACCATGCGACCCTGCGCTCCCCAGCGACCCGCTCCCGCTCCCCCCACCGAAGACAAGGACAACGACGATGGCTCCGACGAGGTAGGTCAGTTCTTCTCTGAATCTAAGCTCTCCTCCTCCTCCTCCTCTCGATCTGAGGGACGTGGCAGTGGCTAGGGTTCTAGCGAGCTCTGGGTCATATTCCCTCCTCCCTCCGGCGAGCTTGAAGGTGATTGGCCAGGGGCTTTTTTGTATGCTTTTTTATAGTTCTAGCATATTGCAATGGGTGTTTTGGATGTTGTAAACTGATGATTTTTTAATGTTGCAATGAGATTTTTGGGGCATTGCAACAGATGTTTTTGCGATGGTACAGTACTGAGATGTTGCAGTATATAATTTTTGATGTTGCAGCATATAACTTTCGATGTTGCAGTACATATTTTTTCGATGTTGTAGTACATGTTTTTTCGATGTTGCAGTACATGTTTTTCGATGTTGCAGTACATTTTTTTTGATGTTGCAATACATATTTTTTTCAAAGTTGCAGTACATATTTTCGTTATTGCAGTACATATTTTTCGATGTTGTAGTGCATGTTTTTCAATGTTGCACTACATATTTTTTGAGGTTGCAGTATTTACAACCTGATGTTGCACTACATAGTTTTTCCATATGTTTTGTAATGTTGCAGTTAAAGTGTTTCATGCTCTTTTGGGACAGAGGTGCGGTGGGGGAACGGGGGACAGGGGCGCGGACGCGCGGTGGGGAGCGAAGGACAGGGACGGGTCCTGTTCTATTCTGTTCCTTGCGCGGGGGGCGGGCGGGGTTCTGTAAGGGACTGGTGTCCGGATGCACTCGCTCACCGGACGTCGGGGGCTAGAATCATCGTATTTATATTTATATATACGTATCTTTTTGTTTATATTTATATATATAGGTGCTGGAGTGGAAGGAATGGAGATGTGGGGTCCACTGGCCCTGTCCGTTGCCCGTGTTTGCCTAGGACAACGTGGCGACGAGACAACCGAGAATTAGATAACAAGATACGAAATACGACATCTTGACCACCACTCCTCTTTGCGATGCTACTTTCAGAGTGGAAAATTTTGCCATTGTTGTTTCTGTACTTGCCGTTACAAACTTGCGACACCATTATATGAAATGACTAACCATCTTTTGCACCAAATAGAAATCCAATGTCTCCCTGAGTGTTGAAAAATTTGCCAGCAAGTTGAGTATTCAATGAAGCTACAACACTCAACCCAAGTCCCTGAAAAATGCACCCTCTCAACTCTGGCACATTTTCACGTGACTTCTTCATCCTTTGGCAAGGGGAACTTCACTGACATCTTTGGTGTCTACACCAACACCACCTCTGCAAAACACTTTTGCAAGAGGATCTTCACCAATTACTTTGGCATTTACATCAACATCGCCTCGTGCAACACTTCAGCATGTGGGGCTTCACCATAATCTTTGGCATCTACCTTAGCATAGCCTCCACCAACACTTTGGCAAGAGGGGCTTCGACATCTTCGGCGTCTACACCAACACTGTCTTCGCCAAAGACTTAGGCAGGAGGCTTCACCATCATCTTTGGCGAACTGCAAGGACTCGTTTCCGCCAACACCTTGGTAGGAGCAGCTTCGATGTCATCTTTGACCAATAATGGCTCGAGAGCCTTCGTAGACACCTTCGACATCAACACCTACAATGACTTACCTTCATCAACGAGCTCGAGGGGCTCATCGACAACTTTGACTCAGACATCTACTTCTACTGCTATGACTATATCGACTACCAAGCACGACTGAAGATTCGGTCACGAGTACCAGCCAAGAGGGCTAAGGGAGCATACTGGAGGATTGGCCACCCTAGAGGGCGAAGTCCTTTGCCTCGCACACATGAGAGAAGATTTGGAGGCTTCACATCAACCTTCGGATATGACTACTTCGACTACATCAACTATGACAACCACATACATTCCCGAAAACATGATGTGTCTATGGATGGAGCTCCTGGCGAGAAGGTCCCCCGAGAAAGGACACACCATGCACCGAAGCTCCTAGCATGAAGGTCCTTGGAGAAAGAACATATCATCAAATGATGCTCCCCACGCGAAGGTCCCTGGAGAAAGAACATGTCATCAAGCAAAGCTTCCGACGAGAAGGTTGCGAAGCAAAGATCTACACGCTTAGAAGCCAACAAGGCAAGACATAGAAGCAACCAAAGCCCAAAGATAAAGATTTCGGGAAAATCAACATCAACGCACTTAGAGTTAGAAGCTTCAGGAAGTAGGACTTGTATAGACCAGAGTCATGCCTTTTTCCCATAGGGTTTTTGGGATGGAGTGTGAGGCGCGCATGGGTAGGTGCAAATGGCGATCCTCATGACCAGGGTTCAATTTGTATTTGTGCCTCTTCTGATATGAGCATTGTTGCGGGTTTGTAACCACGTCGAGCATCGGGGTTGTTCATCGGAGGTCGATGTGTGGGTCTCCAGTGGCTTGGACACTCAAAACATGCGAGGGACACTGATCGGTTTATCCTGGTTTGGGCTTCTGAGCCCTACGTCCAGCAATACGGTATTCTTCTTATTAGGAATGCCCAATCGAGGGATTACACCAGTGGAATCAAGAGAGTTTGGTAGGGGTTCTATCGTTTCGGTCCTTCTAGGTCCGATCCTCCCTTCTATAGGAGCCCATGCCTCCCCTTATAACCCGAGGAGGGCATGGTGTACAAGTTTGTGTCTCTGTTCTAGCCTAAGGCTTCTTCGCCGGGCGTTCGCCATCATCTCCTGAGGCGTCACACCCGTTGCATGACCCTGCCGAGGGAGTGGCCGACAGTGTCTCATGGCCGTTGAATGGGCAAATGGTGGGGCATCTCTGTAGCTATCAGGCTTCGGCCGCCTGACAGATTCCTGAGTCGTCTTCTTTGTGGCTCGGGACGTCGGTTGTCGCCTAGGTGAGGGTCAAGCAGTCACCGGGGCAGAGGTTAGGCTAAGGCTCCTATTGTTCGATAGCCTAGGGTTGTGGCTGAGCCCTGAGCAATGGTTGAGGGTGTGCTCAGGCTCATCCTGACTCCTTTGGAGGGTGTGCGTGAGCATATCCAATGGGTATAGCCCTCGAGCATTTTGTAGGATCGGTTAGGGGATCTATCGATCTGCTACCTGTTTCTCAGGGACCTAACATACCCCTATGTTAGACTCTTGTCAAGCATCTAATAGGTCATGTAGTACCGGCCATAATCTAGTAGCTGAGGGGCTACAATTGTGAGAGTCCATAAGGTATATGGGCCAAACCTCCCCCTATAAGAGGCCTAACTAGTGTCTAGAGTAGTGTCATGTAAAACCCAACACTCCACCAAGAGGCCACTTGTAAGTAATCATTGCCTATATATAGTGCCCAAGCATGAGAGCAAATGGGGCTCTCACTTCCTCTGGTCCTCGCTTGTGTCAAACCTTAGCTCTCTCCTCTCCTCTCCTCCTATCTCCTCTTCTCTACTCATCTCTCCTCTCCACCCTGTTCGAAACTGCCAGTTCCCAACATAAACTCTCTTTAGAGTATTACTATGGAGATTGGTTATCTTTCTATTGTTTCAATTGTAGAGAGAGAATCGCATGCTATGTCCTGTATGTCCACAGCATCACAACTCGATCATAGTACAACCCCCACAGCCTGCAATAGTACAACTAAATAGAATGAATCAAAACCAGTGCGCATACCAATTCGATCCCAGTACATCCCTCAATAGTACAATTGATTTGGATTTGAATTTGGATTTTGGGGCTACTGTCCTTGTTTAGTTGGGTGAATTTGGATTTTGGGGCTACTGTAGCACGTTCGTTTTTATTTGGCAAATAGTGTTCAAATATGGACTAATTAGGCTCAAAACGTTCGTCTCGCAATTTCCCACCAAACTGTGCAATTAGTTTTTATTTTCGTCTACATTTAATGCTCCATGCACGGGCCACAAACATTCGATGTGACAGGTACTATAGCAACTTTTTGAACTTTAGGGTCCAACTAAACAAGGGGAGAATAAACCAACGTGCATACCTTCCTGAC